TATTTTAGAAGATGTTTTAATATAAAAAGTTTATTCTCGTGGAGAAATGAAAACAATGGGTTAAACAACTAGATCAGAAAGCTCTATGATTCAGGAATAGCTTTTCCTAATTCTGTACTCTTAAATAGAGGGAAGACAACTAGTCAATAGCATTCACTACCTGAACCGAACATTCTTAACCAAACAGCAGGAATAACTGTCACTCTTATATTGCTAAAACCATGAAAATTGTTTGATAACACTACATTCTTCAATTCCAAGTCCGATACTTTAACAACTACGTCACTTTCGGGCCTTTTATTGTGAAACATAATACAAGTCTCATCAAGTTGTAGCAACTCTAAAATTGTGTAAATAATATCAGCAAACATAAATGCACAGTGTTCACAATGGTCTTATATTAGCTGTTTTAGACGAGTTGTTTAAGTTACTACAGTAACCATTTTGGACTTTGGAAGCTATATCGGCTTTGACATTTAAACGTTGCAGCACTAATTTTACAACACAATTCGATGAAAGCTTATAAATGCAGAAATACTTATTATACCCTTTTAGTTACACCTAGACATTGCCTTTATTGTTTGGAAATCACAGAACAAAATAAATAGCTCACTAAATGATACACAGAAACTTACATAGTTCAATACCTACAAGTCCTCCGCTGTGACAGTGGTGAGTTTATGGACTTGCAATATCTAAAAATACTTGATGAGTTAAATTTTTATTTAGAGTAATACACACGTTTTTTCTTACCACACAGTTCGTAGAAGAAATCCTATTCTTGCTTTCCTTAGAAGAGGAAAGTTTTTGTATATTTTATATGAATAAGTTTCAATAGCACTAAAAGTGTAACAATATTTTTGAAATCCTCTTTAAGAAATAGTGTTACTGTAATATACTACCATGAGAGATAGTTGGGAAGTATTTTAATTAAAAAAACAATTATCTAAGAAACGAATAATATTAGTAGTTTAAAGTATTATTTTTTACTAAAGTCGTAGTTTTACTATCAAACAGTTTAGATGGTTTACTTCTTTGCCTACATTCTGAGACATGTAACCTAGATAGCGTAAGAGAAAAACGTTGTCTGCTGAAGCAACCATTGTTAATATTTTACTAAAGTCATAGTTTTACTCTGAATCTGGTACAATGGTTTATTTCTTTACCTATATTTTCAGGCAACATGCTATCTAGAAATTGTGTTATGTACATCTTTTAAACAGATGTTTGTTCAAAGTACATTTCGAAGAATCAAGTACAATCTTTCAAAGAAATTTATACGGGACTGTTCATTAAGGTACCATATCCACCAGAAAACAGTTATTATTTATATCTGTTCGTTGTCAATGTGCCTGGTGATTGAAAACATTATAATGTGATTCCTATTTTTAAGTTTTGGAAACCATTTCTACATGTCCAGACACCAAGCCAGTTGGTGGCTGTTTCATCCAGTAACCCTCAATCTCTTGTTCATAGGGGTACTGAGGGCCCTATATTCATTCAAATATATTACTGCCCCAGCGTGCCAGCAATATATCATGTTAAAAATGCAGGTACATCACAATCAGATCTGCATTGCTGTGGTCTTTCGTAGCTTATGCTGCCTACTTGTTCTCTACATCTTCTTCAAGAGCTTGCCACTTCTCTCGGCATGGCAGTTCTACTTCTGGGCTGGTTCCTTTTGTTCATTCGGCAAAAAAGAATAATGTAAAGTCCAGTCAGTCAATTTAGGAATAGCAAAAAACCAGCAACAACAAACAAACAAAAATGGATTTATTTATTCTACTCCAACTATTTTGGTTAGTTTAACTGACACACACTGATAAGCTTAAGTACACAGTAAAAACTAAGATAATAACTGCACTTACTTGTTCACTTCTTTCGTATGTATGCCATTTTCTTGTATCTCTACGATGTCGTTGAGATACAAACGGAATATTCACAAACCTAATGACAGTAACTAGCAGAATAACAAGTTCAAGGCCTAAAATAGAATACATATATGCTCTTGCCTAACTTGCAAAATGTAAGTAGTTATGATCTTGACTGAATTATCACATCAGAACAAGGTTATATACCACAATGGTTATTCAAGAGGGCTTGTATTAACTTCGCATAGCATACGTGTCACCTCTCTCCTGGGTTATGAAATACACCCAGTTGCTTTAGTGTTGTGAAGGTTTGTACCGTTGGTATGAGCTAGAAGTTAATCTCTTTTTGAATGTGCATTGAGAGTGGTCACTTTACATAATTTAAGATTGTGAGATATTGCATTCAGACCCTGGTTTGACTAAAAATGTGATATTGACACAATTCTATCTGGTTTTGTTGAGTGCATTGGAGTTTTCTTCCAATTTCATCACTCATCAGAGTTTTTCAGAACAACATAAACCAGTCAACATCTTGTTTTACGCTTTAGTAAATTATATTTTTTGTGGTGCACCTGCATTTGCCTCACAGATCTGTCTGTCTGTTGTTCATTCTGTTTTGCTATTATTTTTCGAGGCATATTATTGCAGACTTTAACCTGTTTAACCTGGGTATACCACAACTACAAAAAAAAAAGAAAGAAAAAGAAACAAACAAGAAACAAGTCACTTGGCTGACCTCAGTTTCGCACAACATACATAATTACAGGATTAATACAAATTGAGGTTTACTGAGCCCTATTGACCTATTCACAGGGATGTTACGTGAAAGAAAAACACGCTAAAATTTTTAATTAAAAACAATCCTGAATATATCTAAACAAGCATTTATTTTTATTCTCTGTTATGAAAAGTTAAAAAATCACGGAAGCCGTTTCTTTGCGTTTTTAGCTTTTATTACATGCAACGCCTAGTAATTCACATCAAGCAGCTTCATTGCGTTTATTTACAGATGCAAGTTCAATGTTGACAACATCATAAATACTGTTACGACCGCGGTAGTTACGTGACCCTGGTAACACGTCATGATATTCTCGAAGGATCGGGGAACATCACGAATAATCCAGTATTTGCTAGGCGCCCTTTATTCTTGAATATAAGTGCGCCATTTAAAGCGAAATTAATTAATCGGAACTGAATTGCAGACAGGCAGAGATGCAGACGGACAATTGTGTCAAGCGCGGTAGTGACCGTAAGGAAGTGCGTGAACCATTGTGAATTATAGCGTGTGTTCAAAATGACTGTGGAAATTAATTGTAAAGTTGTATCAAGGGAAAAATAAACTAGTTTTATTTAAGAAATGACCTGTATCGCTAAAGTTTCTTCAGAAAGAATTTTTACGGAAAATTAACAAACGACTAGAACGTAACAATACGAATTCTGTTTATACTCCAGTAATATGAATGATTACAGAATTTTTTTTCCACCTTAGGCTAAAAGGGACTCAAAACAAAAGGTGGATGGTCCAAGAGAGGAAATGTCCTTTTGAGATAATAAGCACCAAAAGACAGCAAAGACTGTAAAGTTCAAATTTTTAAGATTTTGAATAACAATGGTTCCATATTGCAGAAGACACAAATGTTAATTATATAGCTAATCCATACATTTGGAGATCATCAAACATATTTTCTATTATTTTTTAAACATTTTGCATATTTGATACCCGTATATGAGGGTGTTTCAGTGAGTTGCAGAATAAAATAACATATGCTTTAGGTCAACAATGGACTATGTGATCCTTCAAGACTATTTGAAAAGACGTTAAATTTTTTTAAGATATAATACTAAAAGCAGCTACCTCCCCCTTTTTTTACTAATATTCCTGTCTTGATTTTTGCCTCTGGTTTTGAGTTTAAAGATCAGCCGGAGCGGAAGTAAACGAAGCACACCTCTTTCAGAAACTTTAGGGTACGTGTGAGAAGTTATTTCTCTAGGTTTTGGTTAATTAAATTTGTAACTAGTTAACTTAAGTGTAATTTAATATATTTTAATAAATATTTATCAAATGAGTTTAGACCCACAAAATATTTTGTTATACCAAGTGGGACAGATAGGGTGATTTCTATGTGAAACCAAATAACTCAATAAGACAGGCCAACCCTAGTTAGAAATTAGACACTAACTTTACTTGGTGTTAAGTAAACAAAGTAATTGCATCACTGTAGTTACTATGTTATTGTTATTACAACTTTAAGTGTTACAATTAATTCTTTATTCTTATTGCTGATCAAAGGACACGTCCAATGTCTTAATATTTTAAATTGAGCCACTCCTATGTGCATCACTGAATGTCAGACTGGGACTGGGTGTGAACGAGTTTTGCATTACCAGACAAGTATAGTGCAGTGTTACAACGAATATAACTACTGCATGATTCATTATATATTTTGACAGTTGTGGTAGCAATAATATAATATTAATAAATTATACCTGGATAGTCATTAAGTCAAGTTTATACAAATATTTTTAATTTTTTACATATTCAATTTCATCATGTTCCTGGCTGTCTTATGGTTATAAGCAACTTTATATAAATTTTCAAATGATCAAGTTAATGTCATCATAAAGACCAATGGCAGCAACATGAACAAATTGTTCTTGGCTCTCTTAGTCTCCACATATGATAACTATAGCCAGTTTTTTTTATATTGTATCTCCCTTGAGCTGTTTGACTTCCATGGGAACATTACAAAAATTGTCAGTGATATTTCTCAAATCATTTTGCTGAGTTTGTTCAAACGTATCATTTTTTGTTACCATAAAGAGTGTTAACTACAACTCACTTTCATAACCAACATAGAAACTACTGTAATATAACCTTGTATTGTAGTTCTTAATCAGGATTAGTAGATCTTGGTTTCCACAGCTTTTGACTCTCAACATTTAATGGCTGTATGGCTCTACCATATTAGTAAAGGAAGGAGGGTATTGTCTTGGTTGATTTTATGCATTTCAGTAAATGGCAGTAACTTAACAATTGTTCTTTACTAATAATGAATAGCTTTAATATTCTCTACATTGATAAAGACTCATAAACCTGCTTTTTTACCATTTTTTCAGTCTCTTAAGTTTGATACAAGCTGCAGGCTCAACACTACTGCTTTACAATTTTCCAGTGACAAATTTCACAGTTATATAAACTTGTACCCTTGTTAACCTTAGTGCTCAACAGTAGGAAGATTATACAGATATTAAGGTGCTTATGATTATAAAAATCTTGGTATTATCAACTGAAACTTCTCTTTGTGTTTGTTTGCATCTTTCAGTTACTTAAACAGGATTTTGCTTATATCTGTTTTTGAACTTAGGGAATGTACTGTCTTTTAGGTGATTGCTTCACTTTTATTTTGGTTTAATAATAGATTCATTATTAATGATTTTGGCCTTGGCCATCTGTATTTAATTTCTGTTACACTTAATTTGATCACCATTTTGCAAAGATACTCCTAAAATTAAGCTTGTCATACTTCAATGTAACCATGTTGACTACTTCTTTACACTTCTAATATTAAGTTTTCATCACTGAAAAAACTTCTTTGATAAGGAATTGGAATTATTATTTTTTGTTCAGTTCTTTACAGTTCTTTAAAAGATGGCTTTACCATAAAATCAATGCTAAATGGGTATATAATGTACCTCAAAACACTGATATTTTCTTTTTTTAATATGTTATGGTATGAGAGACTCAGTTATAATATACACAAAAATTTCATGAAGTAAGGTACATTTAAACAGAAGGTAGTATGCACAAAAGAATTACTGAGGAATAATAATTTGAAGTTATAGGAGTGAAATGTGCCTAATGAATAGTGTAAAATCATGAACTCGTAAGTATTTTTAAACACACACACACACAGGCCCACATTTGATTCAAAACGGTGGAACTTTACAGGGGTCTCTATTTGAAGCTGTACCTTTTTGCCAATAAGTTAAAAAATAACAATTATACCAGTAATTTTGAAACTAACTTTTAGTTAAAAATAATTTGTGAAGGGGTTATTATAAATTCATAGCATTTTGTAGAACTATGGAAAGGTTCTTTCTTTTTATACTTCTGGTGGCATACTGTCTGTTGATTTTTTTGTTAAATTTGAACAGAAAAGATTTGTGTTGTAGCTTTTACATTACATTTAATTTTTTTTCAGATTTTGAAATGTTTTAAAGCAGAGTTATTGTGTATTTTATTAGTTTTATGTTTGAAAAATACTTACAAATTTTTGTCAAAAACATCTCATGGCTGCATAATTTGCATGTTTATTTAATCATTGTATTTTGATTATTTTCTGTATTTGATATATATTTTATAATGATTTTTTTCAAAGTTTGAATGCATTTTAATTTGTGTGTGATCACACATATAAACAGTTAAGGATTTAAGCCACTGAATTTTGACACTGATGTATGTTATTTTCCAGGAATGTTGACTCCATTGCTTATGACTGATAGCAAGATGTGGAAGTACATGTAACCCATTTTTTGAAGTAGTGACATGTAAATTTGCAAAGATAAATATTTTGAATATAGTGTATATATATATATATATATATATGAATGTGATGCACATTCTTGTATTTTCTGATGGAAATGTGTTTGAACATTTGTTTAATTATTCAACTATGTATAAGATACTTTGAAAAGGTAACAAGAACTTTTGTCTTTTCTTTGTTGTTTTTAGGGTTTTAGCAGTAAATTATTATTATTATTGTTGTTTTTAGTCAAGATGTCAATGTGGAAAGCAACTGTTGGGAGAGATGTTAAAATAAATAATAAGAATGGTGCAGATGATGATGATTGGGAGACAGATCCAGACTTTATTGTAGGTATCTTTCAGATTTTGTTTTATAAATTCAATTATTAAATATTGTATATGCATAATGTCAGTTTATGAGATTAAACAATTCTTGTTGGTGTTCTATAAAACAACAACAAAAACCAGCTAGCTGTCATAATAGTATGAAAAGTCTGCATGAAGTTGAAACTAATATTTTAGCTATTAATCTTGTAAATGTTAAGTGGTAAAGAGCAAACATTGAATTATCAATAACTTATGAGTAATAGTAAACTAATTATATAGATGTAACCAAAAATAATTTAAAATCAATGTATACCTTAATGAAAATAATATAGTATAACAAACTGACTAAAACATAATGTTAAAAATCAATAAACGAAACAACTGACTAAATAAAATCCAGTTGTTTTATGTATAACTGAAATTAGTTTGATGTGAAAGATAAATGGCTACTGTTGCATTTATTTTGTATAAAAGTAGTGTTGCCATCATAAAGATGTAGAAAGTAAAGCTTCAAAAATCTTACAAAAAAAATAATGTTTACAGATATACATATTGGTTCAATAAATTATATATATATTATAATACCTTTAGTTCAAATTAACCAAAGCATTGCAAGAGTGATAAGTTAAGTAAATATATTTCTAGATGCTAAAGCCACACCTCTTACATGTTGTTTAATTATAGAGTGAGGAACCAAAAGTATATAAAAGATAAAACTGTAGTAACTTGTGTTTTCCAGAATGATGTAACAGAAGAGGAACAGCGATGGGGCTCTAAGACTATTGAGGGATCTGGCCGTACAGCTGGTGCTATTGAGTGTGTGAAAAATAATTTTTCTATCTTTCTTTTTGTTGTTTTCTGTTTGGTTACAAATATATAATGTACATAGACTTGATCTGTATTTTAATTATATGTTTAATCACAAGCAAAATGTATTTTGCACTATTCTTTAATAAATTCACATAAGCTTATGAATTAAGGAAGTTCTTACAATCACAACAATGTTGATTTTGTTGTTACTTGTAAAACTTTAATTTATGAAAAACAACCAAATTTTGCACAAATGGCAAAGAAAATGACATTAATTTTAGAAACTATATAAAGCAAGTTTTGAAAAAGTATCCCAGAGAAATTTATCTACTTGGGTTTTTTGAAAGACTCTAATAACAATTTTACTGAATAAATTGTAATGGTATTCACTTTCACATTATTATATCATATTTATGAATTTATTAAAAATGCTATTTTAAATTAATAATAACATATGTACAAGAACATACTTGTGATGCTATAGAAAGAAATCTAGCTATTTTTCTTTTCTATTAAGAATGTTATTCAGGTGATCATACATGGTTTGAAATGAGTAATCAATTTTTCACGAGTAAATGAAAGTATTAATGTGATAATGCATATTATTTTATCTCAGATACTGCAAGTACAAGTTGTTTAAATTATGTTTTGTATCGTCATGGAGATACAAGTGTGGGCAAGAGTTTACTAAACATCTATATAAGTAAGGTATCTGGAAGATCATAAACCCTGTTAAAATTATTGTGCTGTTGAAATGTGCTAAGGTTCAAGAAAATGCTTTATCATAGTCCAAAAATATGTATTCCAATTTTTATTATCACTGACATACAGTATAACAGTGGTCTTTTTTAATTAACCTCATTAAAAAGATTAGACGAAATAAAATAAGTTATAAAAATAGAATATTTTCATATAGTTTTATTTCTTATCTTGCCTACTTTTAATGTCATATGTGGACACAGTTGCAACTGTGAACTTGGTGCTCATAATGTTTTGTGGTCAGAAAGTAGGGGTCATGCAACAATTTTCCTCATGGCTGATTGTTGAAGTGCATCTTCAGAAATGTTCCTCATGTCAACACAGAACTGAGAGCTGTTATTTCACACCAATGCTGAGAAGATTTTTGCACATGCACCAAACTGTGATTGACAGTCCAACCCCTACATGTATTAATGTGTATTGAGTTAGTCTGTGATGCAATTAGCATTACATTATAGCCCCCTCCCCTATACTCCATCGCAGTAATCCTCTTGAGCACACTTTCCTCAGTACTATTAATATTTCAGACCTATCTTTTTTTTGCATTATGAATCATGGAATTTTTACACTTATTATTTTAAGCTTTTAGTCAACATTCAAAGTGTTCTCTTTCTTAGAAAGATGCAGTATTTTACTAATTTCAGTTAGAACTTCTGATACAAATTTTTTTTTTCTTTATAAATTTAAATCAAATGATGAGATTTGGGACACATCTTCCAGAGTTTTTGATATTGTTTCTTTGACTGGAATATTCCCCATCATTATTTACCCAGTTTTTGGGCTTCTGTAATTAATCTCAATTTCCTTATAACATCATTGACCTATGCCTACATACTAAGGACATATCAGATCTACTTTAAAAACAAGCAACAAAAAACTGCAAATGGCTTCATTGATCAGCTTGACTATTTGCATATCCATGATTCTGACATTTCCTGAGGTCTTGACATTCTAAAACAGGAGTGCTCTCCTACTGTTTAAATGGCAGTTGGAGGCACTCTGATGATATTTTGATGATATTGTCAAGGTGTTCTTACCAGTTGTTTTTACTTCTGGTTCAGCCTCTCCTGATGAGGAACAAGTAATCCTATTTTTATCTTTGACTGCTTTGATTACACCGGTATATGATATTCCTTCTCTTCATTTGTTTTTGCTGAATCTCAGGCTATCTTGCTGCACAAGCCTCCTCCTTCTGTCTTCCCTTTTCTTCTTCCCCTGATATTCATTTTTATTTAAATTTTATACCATACCCCAGCTAACTTATCTTCACATACTTGAAGGTTCTTATTATGTGGTGTATAGTCATGATTTTTCTTTTTTCCTGCACTTCAGTTCCTTGAACTTCTTCCAGCCTGGGATCTTCTCCTTACTAGTCTCTCTCTCTCTCTCAATCTGTTCATCTTTGTCTTGCTCTTGCTCAGCTTCTCCATGCCTCACCTTCCAAATGCTCTATACTATGATCTCAACAGCTTCAATGGGGACAGTTACACTTACCTGTTCTCTATCTTGGCCTCAGTTTATTCTTCTACACTGTCCTAATTAATTTTTGTTTATTTTTTCTTTGTGGGACTTGTGTGGTCAGGATGCTTTACTTTGTAGACTTTGCTTTCTCAGTCTTATCTCTGAGAACTCTGACATCCCTTCTTTCTGATGAGGTTTTGGGGAGTTCCTTGTACATTGGAAACTTGAACTGAGTCATTTTATTAGCTCTCGTCTCTTCTCCCTTTAATTTCCCTTTATGCTTGGTCTAAGAGTTCCTATAGACTTCTCATTTTTTGGGATTCTCACATGGTTGCCCCCTCTCCTGTTCCTTGTCCTCAGGCTATTTTGTGATGTCCCCCCTTTGTGAGGGTGGGCCTTCACAGGTCAGGGAGGTAAATCATTTCTGGAACCAGAAGATCTTTGAGTTACACAGGCTGTATCACAGTCTTTTCCTGTTTTTTTCACATCCAACTTCTTGTTTCTAGTATTCACAAATCCTTTAGTGCTTGGAAAAGGCTGTATCTTCCCTCCAGATTATGAATCACTCCACTCTGAGATTTTACTCTCATCTTTTTTTGTTATTCCCTTGAAGATGGGATACTGACAACTTATCTTAGATCTATGTTCCTTAAACCAACTTCTTGTCATCCCTTAGTTGAAGATGGATAGTTTTATCAATCTGAGGTGGATATTTCTTGGGTTGTGAATGACCAAGGTTGGTGTTTCAGTTGCATTTCTTCACATTCCAATTTTTCTGACTGCTCTTTCACTTCCTTCAGTTTGTCTGCAGTTTGATTTTTCATCTCCAGGCCCTTCCCCTAAAGTTAGATACAGCATCATATGTTTTCAGTTGGGTCATTTGTGTCGTGTCTAAATGTGCATCCTCATCTGCAACCTCTCTTGTTTTTTAGGAGTTGTCTCACTTGAGTTGGCTGGTCAAGCTCTCTAAATATCTTTTTCACTTGGGATTTTTTTGTCAATATATTTTCAGGATATGCTCAGTGTTTACAACTTTAAGACATGGAGCTTCTGATTACCAAAGCTCTCATATCCCCTTCTCTTCCTGTACAAGAGGTTCTGTTTCTTTTGTGGATTCTTACTTCTCACGAGTCTTTTGTTTCTCTTGGATGCACCCATATACATTCTCTTTAGTTGACTCTGGCTAGTCATTGGAGTACGTGCAAAGATCCACTATCATTTGCATCTCTCCCTCTATTTCTTAACTTCTCACTGTTGTGATGGCTTAATTGGTCTCACATATGACCCTGGGCATTCAACTACCCCATTTGGACTTGCTTCTGTTCACAGATGTTTCTCTGTCTGGATGATGTCCTGGACATCATCACCTTTTTCAGGGTCTGGTCTATCTAGGTTCGTGTTTCTCCGATGTAGAATTCTGGGCAGTTATTGCATGTTATTTTGTAAATGAGGTTGGTATTGTGTGATTCTAAATAATTTTTGTTTAGTAACGATTTTAATTTAGGGCCGGGTTTTTGAGAGAATTTGACGTTGACAGGAATATTGTGTTTAATGGCTAGTTTTGTCCAAGTGTGGATAATTCTTGAGCTGGTTTCAGGAACAAAAGGTAAACTGCAGTGTAATGTTCTGTTGTTGGGTTTGTTAGTATCAATTTTGTTCGTGAGTTGAGTTTTGTTGTGGGAAATGTTGGAGAGTTTTTAACACTAGCTGGGGGAAATTTATTGGTGTGAATGAAGGAATGCTTTATGTGGTTGATTTCTTCATTTATGTAGTCCGTTGAACAGAGTTTTGTGGCTGTGTTTATGAGGTTTTTAATGTATTGATTTTTTGTGTGGTGTCATGAGCGGACTTCCAGAGGATGTAGAGGCCGGTGTGTGTGTGTGTTCTTGCGGTGAAGTTTGGTTTCAAACTGTGTGTCCGATCTAATAATTTTGAGGTTAAGAAAAGATAACTGTTTATTGATTTCGTGTTTTATGGTAAATTTGATGTTGGGATGAATGGAATTCATGTGTTCAAAGAAAGTTAGTGTGTGTTCTGTAAAATTGAAACCAGCAAAAGTGTCATCGACATATCTGTACCAGTATAGTGGGGGATGAAGCGCAGAATGTATGGCTTGTGTTTCGATCTGGGTCATAAATATATTGGCAAGAACGGGCAAAACAGGATTTCCCATACTTAAACCATCTATTTGAAGGAAATGTTCGTTGTTGAAAATGAAGTAGGTTTTAGTTGTTGTAAATTCTAAGAGAGAAGTAAAAAGTGTGCTGAGGATGTGGATTGACTTG